AGAAGCAAACAACATTAATGTAATACTGTCATTCATGGAAATGTCTACATTTATTTTTAATTAAATATTCAAAAGTGTAATGCCAATGACGTTGATTTAAACGCCCCATTTTTGGCGCGCCTTGCAGTAACGTCTTAACTCATGATTTATGTCGTTTAATTGTATTCTTGGTGTGATGAACATGTCTTTCAACAAAAAACTGTGGATTCCTCCTTTCACCACGTCGCCTTCTAACCCTGGCACGACCATCGTGCATGCCTAAACAAAATCGAGACTCGTCACTAAAGACAATACTGTTCCATTCCTGATCCCAGAGTGACCGTTGTCTGCACCACTCAAGGCGATTACGTCGGTGTTCTCGAGTTAAAGGGAGGACCCAGTGAGGCCGGTATGAAAACAAGCCAAAACTTCTCATTCGTCGGTAAACACTTCGCATGCCAATAGGTCTTCCGTGTTCTGCAAACCATTCATTTGCGATGGACCTGGTAGTGGAGAAACGGTCCCTTAAGGCCAATAATCTTAGGCGGCGATCTTCACGGTCTGTTGTTCTACGGCGGCGTCCAGTGCCCCTTGCTCTTTGCGTACGGCCTTCTCGAAGCCATGCCTGACAACACCTAACCACAGTGTCTACATTTCTTTGCACTCTAACTGCAATTGCCCGAAAAGAAAGTCCAGCTTCCCGAAGTCCCACTATACGGCCCCTATCAAACTCACTAAGTTGACGAAATCGTACAGGTCTCCGTACTCTAGGCATCGTAACCGATCGTAAAGGATGTCAAGAACCAAAATCCGCCAACGTTGATTCTTTACTGCGGCTGAAATATTCATTTTTAGAGCGTTAGTGAATTAAAAAAAAAGCAGTATAAAAACCGGAATGTCCAACTGATACGGCTGAAAATTTTTTCACTTGTTATTTACGGTAAGACATTCACCAACTTTTATTAAAATAAAACCATTTAAACTAGGTTTTCGGATTTATATGTCACTTAGTATATAACTAGACACTTAGAAAATACTTTTGAATGTCTACACTAAAATATGAATTCAGCTCATTTACACAGAAGCTGTAAAATAAAAATGCTGACCTCTGACGTGTTGCGCCATCATTCTGAAACCATGCTATTCAATATGAAATGTGTTTCACATGTTCATTGTTAGAGCTTTGTGTGAATCCATACTCGTCATTTAGAAGCTGGCCCCTCAAAATTGCAAAAGACTTTCGAATTTGTATTTCACTAGAACTATACGGAAAAAACGTTGGGATGCAATTCTTTCATTAAGGGACTGATTGATTAGCTAATTGCTTGTTGGTCGCCATTGAATTTAGCTGAATAGGAGGGATAACCCTTCATAAAAAACGTGACTCATCTCTTCTGAGCCTAATGTTTAGATCTTTTGTGTACAAGGATGTTGAAACAGTATATCTTTCATAATGTCCAACAATTTATGAGATATGCCCTGCTCTAAGCTAAATTTCTCAAATAAGGAAAGAAATATTGATTCTAATTGAAAAACATGATACAAAAAACCTTCAGGTGGGTGTTTTAAACCCTGAAGATTCTGTTATTATTTTCGAAAACTTTAAAATGGATTAACAGTTTACTATCCAAACTACCAGCACCTTCAGGAATTTTACACATATCTTACAGGCAATCTCAATACATCGTGCCCAGCATCATGCAGAATTTTATCTATTGCAAACTTCTTATAAGCAGGCTTATGCAATTTTATCAAATTGAACGGTTCTGGCTTAAGCACGTCTTCCGTAAAAAAGATACTTCTCTAACGAAGCCAGATCATCATTTCTGCTTTGGTTGTTGATGAAGTTGGGCTTTTTTCTGTTTGTTTATTATGATACGATGCGTTGTCTATAACAACCACGCTTTTGGGAGGTAGGTTTGGAACTTACTTTTCTTCCAACCACTTTTTATAATTGTCAAAATTCATCTCATTATGGTAATCGCCTGTGCTACATGTAGATTTCCATCTCACATACGCATTAGGTATGAATACATTTTCACTGCCGGCATGGAGAATAATCAATATGTCCCCTTTGGATACGGATTTTTTATGCCTTCCATGGAGCCATCTACCCAGGTTTTTGGGGTTTGTATGGGAAGCGTGTATATATGTCTCGTCAGTATAGATCACTGGACGTCCTTCTTGTCTATATTTCTGCATACTCCTCAAGAACATTATACGTAAATAGCGAATTTCTGGTTGTTCCATTAATAGCTTTCTATTGGTCTCAATTTGTTTCCACTTAAACCCTAATTTATGAATTTCTTTACGCAATATTTCTCTGCTTCCTCGATATCCTACTTGCTCAATCATCTTCCTGTGTACAGATTACAAGGTAGGTACACGTTTTTCGGTTACATGAAGGTTTATTACTGTTCTTCGTAACAATCCTCTGTCGAACCCATCCAGAGCCACCTTACTATTAATAAAGGGCTGGTATAGAGGCCTGCGATAAATATTATGAGCACACTCCAGAAAATAATAAAGTTGTAAACAATGAGGATGTTCAAATCATATGGGATGTTCCCATCATCACTGATAGAACCATACCTGCGAACCGCCCGGACATAGTGTATCTTGATAAAATAAAAAAACCTGCTTACTAGTAGATGTAGCGGTTCCTAACGATTCAAACATAATGCTGAAGGAAGCAGAAAAGTTAAGCAAGTATGTATAAAGACCTGGAAATAGAGGTAAGCAGAATGTGGAACGTTAAGACCCGAACAGTTCCAGTCATTGTAGGAGCCCTAGGGACCCTTAGAAAGGGGTTACAGTCCAACCTCTCACAACTACCAGGAAAACCATCTGTTGCTGAAGTGCAGAAAATAGAACTACTGGGCACTGCTCACATTATCCGCAAGGTATTAGGGTGAATCGCTTTGATCTCGGGTAGAGATCTGGATTCGCTTAAGACTGCCTCAATAGGACAAGAGGAAAACACTAAAATAATAATCATAGTAATCGTAATTTATTGTAATCGTAATTATATTTACTCTGTGTAAAGGAACAGCCACTCCACGTTCAGCCTCATTCTGCTTGAATCTCAATACCGAGGCAACGATTTCTCTTCTTTGACCACTTAAGACTTTATTTGCAACTTTACTCTCCATTTTTCAGAACCTTCGAGTATAAATTAAAACAACCTATAGCTAACGCAATTAAAATTTTTACTGGAGCTGCACCCACGATACTACCTCGATCGCTGCTGGTATGTACTGGGGTGTCCCCACTACATTCCGCCGTGTCTACCGCGCATCTGAGCTTGGGAGACCAAGCTAGATTTGTCAAACTGTACTTGACATTGGCGTGCAATTCAAGTTGTCTTGTTATCAATCTTCAATATAAAATTGTACAATGCCTGGAATTACGATAATTGGAGAAGGGCTCATGCTAAATTTATAAGAGTATTTCCAATAAGAGAATGAAAACAGCGGCCCCCTGTTACCCACTTCACGCGTACTGGAGAGAGTAGCAGATGTGCTGAAGATTAGTCTGCGCAGTGCACAGTGAACAAAATCAGAAAATAAGAAAGGTTTAACACCTGGAAAAACCCACAAAATCAAAAAATGCAAGACCGTTAATGTAAGTGATGCCGTCAAAACCGATATTAGGAAAACTTTCTACGACATGAGAAGTAAAGAACAACATATCACGACCTCTGCGGTCAAGATCCGCCCATGGTACGGAGACTCGACCTCTTTATTTATTTCATATGGCGTTGATGACGTAACCGCCAAGAACGGTGATTACAACTATAGCTCGAATGTCATGCCATTTAGGTAACACGCATGGATACTAAGTGAACATAAAGTGGGTGACAGTTCCAATCTGCAATTTTTCGGAAAAACGAGATATTGTCGTTAAAAATCGTCCACCGTTGTATATTTTTTTTTTACATTGATGCCAGCACTTCAAGATGTGACCACATCATGGGAGTTGTCGAATGTCCGCCTTGTGGGCTGATTTCGCGACGAGTTCGTCCACATTTTACAAAGCTGAGGTCTTGGGATACCATAGGCAGACTATAAAAGGTCGGTCACCAGAATAATGCGAAAAGAGACGCCAAAGGGCCCAATAGCTTATGCACTGGTGAGCGGCGACCACTGGCATCAGATCGTTTCTTCCTTTTTCATTCATTCAGTACTAAGATCCTTTTAACCTACTTCCAGGCTTTCACTTTTTACAATAATTTGACTTTACCGCCAACCTTTTGTGCTCTGTCTTTGACAAATTCTGTCACGGAGGCAACAACGGGTTTCTATGATGTAGGTGTGAAAACTCCCTAAGGGCCGTCAATCGTTCCTCCAATTGTAGGACGCATTTATGGCCTCCTTAATTTTCATAGTTTTCTACTGTTCCGTGTCAGCGCTCCATTTTACAAATATCTATGTGCATTAAATTGTTCATGCTTTTGATGTATATCATCGGTTTTGTCAGTCTGAAATCTACTACGAGTCGAAATGAAACCATAGCCTCACAATAGGGGAGTACTGACGCTTACAGGGAATAGCTGAAATCTAGAAATACCCCAGCCTTTCTGAGAAAAAGGTGCGTTTAGATCTGAGCACGCCCGCACTGATCCACCGCGAATGCTAAAGTGTAAACAGCTATGCGCGCACGTTCACTCTGTATCTTCATGTGCGCGAGCAACAGCGAACGCGATCCGCCTGTTGTCGGTCTCAAGACGTTGCTCAAAGGAATTAATGGGTTCGCGAATGCTCAGTGTGGACCGAAACGACAAAGCGGCGCACAGGATTAAAGAGTTGATTGTATTTAGTCCAGTAAGTGATGAAATGGAATAATACTAAGGTTCTAAAACTCTTGCAAGAGGAAATTTTATCGGTACTGTGGGACGTTAGGCACAAAGAGTATTATTTAAAATCGAAAAAAGTGGTGCATGGAAACAACTAGTAATCAATTATAGCATTGAAAATCCATACTGTTGCGAAGCACAGAAAACAATTAAAACTCTGATGGGATCATTTCGCCTCGAAAAAAAAAAAACAAAATGAAGATTTTTACACTCTGAAAAGATACTGCATGCTGCTGTAGGAGTCTCCAGTTGTCCAAAAAAGCGCAAGGTTTTGACTAAACGTTTTCTTGGTGATATAGATTTTCGAAACTGTATATCAATTTTCATTATCGTTGGTGTTACCAACGTAAGCAGGTATTCAAAGTCCGAATTGGTCATTCTTGTAAAATTTCTGAATTGATCATACAGACTGTCTAATACTAATTCCTCTCGTTTCAGGTTTTCTTTTCTTTTAATAAATTATACAGTATAATACATGCTTCTGCGGCTATATGTTTATTCTCCATGTTAACCGCATACGCGAACGACTGGATCAGCCCATGCGTTGAAAAATGAATTTCAGTTTAAACACTCTCCACGCACGCGAACGAATGCGTGCGCGTATGCTCAGTGCGTGCGTGCTCGTATGTAAACGCACCTAAATAGGCTATAAAGGCGTCCTACAATTGTTGGAACGACTGACGATACGTCCCTAAAACTCGGCCTATGTGATCGATCAATTACGTATTTCGGCGATATATGTTCTTATACCTCTAGGTGGTTACATACCTGATTGGGCGACTTTTCGCTAAGAGCGTCCATACTTTCAATTCCACTATCTTCACCTTGGCCGCTACTAGTGCTGTTCCCGCCACTAGGCGACGTCCTACCAGCAACGGTTGCTGTTCCCGCCACTACTTGCGCCGCAGCCAGTACTACTTTCTCTCTGCTATTACCGCCCCCAGGCGATTCTGTAGTCATAACCATGGCGCCTCCACCTCCTGCTTCTTTCTCGCTAGCCACTCCTGTCTTTTCAGCCGTGTCACGACCGCCTCCGCCGCTGTCTACAGGCGTGATGCACTTGTGCGGCTCAGGTGAGGATTTCTTCTCCAAGGGTAATGTGTTCGAGGGCAAGACTGCAGAATGATGGTCTTCCCGGGGTAGCATTTTCATCGCCTGCAACGGATCAAGCAAATGTATTAGGACTCATGCTTCTGTAGGATAGAGTGGAATTTTAAAACAATTCCTAAATGTAAACTGTCAATTTTCAAAGAAGTTCGCAGACTTTTTACTCTTGTCAAATATACCGACCTGGCGTTTGTATTTGATAATATTATAAAAATGCGAACCTGACAGTTCAAAAACAAGAGTAGCTATATAATAATAATAGTAATAATAATATCTTGAGAAGACACTTCGTGGAATGTCTTTATAATCCACCGGTCACCCCCACTGGTCTTATATAGTGGAGAAGCCGATCGCAAATTTTTGGTGACATCATCGCGTACTGATATGATACGGTAAAAACTAGTCACATCTTACGAATTCTGCGAGCTTGCTGTTTAGCATCGACAATATTAAGCGATGATCTTTTGTTTTAGGTAGGATTTGGATTTCGAGAGGGGAGAGAGAGCGGTCGCGGTAGGAGGAAGAAACGCGATCGAAAACGACCGGTAAAGTCGAAAAAATGGTAGATTTTCGTGCTGTTTTACGTTCACTTTCGATCTCTTCGGACATCGGACTCAAAGATAGCGTCTTTTTTTATCCCTTTTCGTTCGAAAGTTTTCGACGATATTAAGCGATGATCTTTTGTTTTAGGTAGGATTTGAATTTCGAGAGCAGATCCGAACGGTCGACATCGACGCGGTTTTTCCGGTTTTTTTCCCGGTTCGCGAAACGTTCGGTAGATTTTCGTGCTGTCCGACGTTCAACATCGATTTCCTCCGAAGATAAAGGAGCTACGAACCTGACGATTTTTGCGTGAGAAAGCCCGGGCGTCGGACTCAAAGATATCGTCTTTCTTTTTTTTCTTTATCCCTTTTCGTTCGAAAATTTCGATTTCTTTGAATTTCTCGACTACGCGCTACTTTCCGATTTTTCCGGTTTTTTTCCAGGTTCGCGAAACGTTCGGAAGGAAAACGATACCGTTTCGGAAACTAGAAACTCGGCGCTTTACGGGGGAGCGAGAGCGGTCGCGGTAGGAGGAAGAAACGCGATCGAAAACGACCGGTAATGGAAAAAATGAGATTTTCGTGCTGTTTTATGTTCACTTTCGATCTCCTCCGAAGAAAGGAGCTACGAACCTGACGTTTTTTGCGTGAGAAAGCCCGGACATCGGACTCAAAGATAGCGTTTTTTTTCTTTATCCCTTTTCGTTCGAAAGTTTCGATTTCGATGCGTGAAAAAGTCACTTTGTTTTCCGGCTCTGTCCTCGCCTATTACTACTATACGTAAGCGAGTAAAAAGTATATAGATATCGAAAAATTACGATAATGATCTGAGGAAACGATTCTGACCGTTAGAATTACCGTCAAATTTCGAAAAAGGTAAACTTTGAGCGCCTCAAAAGTACCGATGACAGCCGTTTTTCGGCGTACTTTGTCTTCTTCGATACGGACCTTCGTTACGGATCGATATAGCTACGTTTTTTTTTTCGCAAAACGAAAGACCAAAGTCTCCTGATTAACCCGATATACGACACGTTACCCGATCGCATTTTATAAACTCGGCAGATTAGAAAATTCAAAGATATGCAGATATTTTTAGTTTGAAGTTTGTATTTTGATTTTCGCTGGAGATTCGCGATTCCTGTTAGGCGGGGTATTGTAGCTATGATCGTATTATGAAAGCGCGCGCGTGCAAGCGGAACGTCCAAAACGTCCCATTTTCGGCTTCATGACGATCGCTTCATTCAATATTGGATCATACCGAATAGCATTGTCCTTTTTTAGGCATTATAACGAACGCTTTTGAATAGATCCAGAATTTCTATATTCCGAAATTAACCGGACTATAATCATAATAACAATCAAGTATGCTTTGGCAACGTTGTAATTTATACCGGCAGCTAAGCATTAGGTATATTCTTTAATTCACCGGTTGAGCTACCGGTGCAACCGGTTAGCCAATTTTGCGTCCTTTAATTTCCGCTGGAACGACCGGTTGTACATCAAACTTGTTTTTATATTGATGGTGGATATGCCACCGGTGCCAACACCATCCACCGACGTACGGGCTCGGTTGATCCACGATATTCTAACCTCTACATTGTATCAGTTTTTGACAACTACAGTTTGAAAAAATGGAAGAAGATTGAAGTTTTTCTACAGCATAGGTGTCGCGTGAAATTTATTGTTTTTTTTTTCAACACAATTCGAAATAAACAGAGCATCTGAAAGCAAGTGAATTTGTTTTGAATTATGGATATCGACGATCTCAAATCAATACCTCGTAAGTCCGAAAATGTCGATTTTATGATTTTGTTCCTGTATGCATACAGGAATGCTCTCAGAAAATCCATATCGAAGATCTTAAATCAATGCCTCGTATTGATTTGAGATCGTCGATATCTGAAAATTTCTTCGTTTTCTGATTTATAATTCTTATATTGATTCTCGGAGCGCAAATTCTCTCCGCTGGATAACTTCATCCGAATCATTACTCGAACCACTTAACAAACGTTCCACGATAATACCAACTGCTGCGTACATTGCCATAATGTTTTAACAGCAACCTGAAGACTAAAAAGCGTCTTTTTATTAACAACCAATCAACGGAACCGGTTGCTGACGTCATCACATCAGCTGTCAACCATAAGCTCAACGGATCAGTGATGGAATCAACCGGTGAATTAAAGAATATACCTATTTAGGCTTTGACGTTTAGCGATTTGTTTACAAAAGTCATCATCACTTTAAATAGGATAAATATGATTGTAAACCCTAATGAGTGGCATAATTTTAGATGAACGTTTATATGGATCCATCCTAAAAAGGCAAGAAGTCCACAATATAGCAAAACTTTGTGCTTATAGCAGTGCATTATTGTCTAGTGATACCGGGTGCCGAGTGTTTACAGTTTTTCGATTCAGACGCATACCTATCGTGATATATTTCATCTTTGAGGAAGTTTGAGAGGTACCCTTATTAATCGTCAGCAGATTTAAATAATGTAAATAATTTTCATTCCTGTCAAATCAGAAAACATTTACAATGAAGAAAGTCGTGCTATCCTTAGGCGAACACGGTTGACATATGTCAGTGTCAAGCGCCATGGTTGCTAGACTTATGCGACGTTGCCGGATCCTCACATAAGTCTGAGTATGTCATACAATTGTATAGAGGGCATAAATGCTATATAGAAGATTTTATAACGCCATGTGTGTTATTAACGACACATGCGACGTTGCCGGCTCCTCACATAAATCTGAGTTTGTCATACACTTTTATAGAGGGCAAGTCTGAGTCTGTTATACAATTTTATACAGGGTATTTTTAATGCTTTATGGACGATTTTATAACACCATGTGTGTTATTAACATATCTTTGCTGTCTCGACAAGTAAGTGTTCACTTATATTTTGAAACAGCAGGGTCTATAACACAGGACATTATCAAAATCATCCATATATCCTAGATATTTGAAACTTTGACAACAGTAAAATATCTACAACAAATCAATAATATTTATGACAGATGACGGATAACAGGTGACAGGTAACAGATAACAGATAACAGGTAACAGGTAATAGATAACAGGTAACATGTAACAGGTAACAGATAAGAGATAACTGGTAGCAGAGAAGAGATAACAGGTAACAGATAAAAGATAACTGACACCTGGCAACTGGCACCTAACAACTGCTAACAGATAACTGATAACAGATAACTGACACCTGATAACTGATAACTGCCAACAGATAACAGGTGACAGGTAACTGATAAGTGATAACTGATAACTGAAAACTGGTAACTGGTAACAGATACCAGATAAAAGTTAGCAGATACCAGATATCTGATACCAGATAACAGATAACTGACATCTGGCACCTAACAACTGATAACAGATAACTGATAACTGCCAACAGATAACAGGTGACAGGTAACTGATAACTGATAACTGATAAGTGATAACTGAAAATTGAAAACTGATAACAGATACCAGGTAACAGATCAAAGATTCCAAAGCATATACAATGATTAGAGATAGGGATAAAGTATATCGCTAGCATTGCATTAGCATACCAGCAACTGCGCTACGTGAGGTTTTACAATATTTTGCGGTCGGCTATTGAACTGCCAGTGATTTACAAATAAAAACAGCGATCTATGAGCGGACGGCTCTGCATGTGCTGAGGCGGTGTTGCCAAACTGTCATGAAATGTTTATCAAAGGCTACATTTATACTGAACTGCAGGGAGTTCAGTTCTTTTCACGGTTATTGGTGATTGCGTCCAAAAGTCATACAAAATAAGCAAGAGTATCGTCTTAAAACCAGGATACCTAGACAACTGGCAACCATGTCAAATATACCGACGAATGGTCAAATGAGCAATGTATGGTTAGCAAATGTTCAGCTGACGTTCCTCTATTGTTTACTAAACTAAATTGTGTAATATACCTAGTAGGATCGTAAAAGTTACAGTGATAGTCAATAACTTACGTTTTAGAATAATTTTTCTCCTGAAAAGAGTGATCGAATGAAAAATATATTTCGTAGCCTGCAAACAGATGATAAATATCCCTCCCATGAATACGTGTCCAAACACAAGTAAATTTGAAAAAAAAAATGTTCAGATACCATCAGCTGTTTTGTATCCGCCATGTTTCTGGATACGTCTACCTTATCTCTCTAATGTATTCACCTTGCCTAACTGTTTTCTCTTGATATAATTACTCTTTGACAAAAGTATACATTTTACTTATAATTGGTGGACTGATTAAACGATTAACGGTGGACTCGGAGAAAGATTGATGAAATTAAGATGATTAAATAGATTACCCAATAGTTGATAAACCTATTAATACATGATTAATGCCAGTTATTTTTCAACATACGTGGACCTCCGGTAATCCGACAAACATTATGCAGGGCAGTCTATAGTCTAGAATTTTTTAACAAAAGATTACCTTGTAATCCGACAAATTACATATCCAATGGTAAGATTATATACAGTGGACCCCCGATAATTCGGCCCCTGTCTAATCCGGCGCCTCCTGTAATCCGACATGTCTTTGAATATGTATTACATACATACGTATTTGACAATCTTCGCTAATGTAGATCACGCAGGTTTGAACAGGTTACAACTTGTACGTGCCACCGCTATCGTGCTCGACGCGTAAGCATTGTTTTACTTAGTTTGAATTTGACTACTAGTGATAGCGGTACGGCCTAGTGCGTTCATTGTTTACTAACAAACTCAGAAGCGAAAGCACAGAACATTGACAAATAAAGAAAAATGTGATATTTTAGACCGCTTAAATCGCAATGAAACATTCAGTAGTTTAGCAAGTGAATACGGCGTAGGCCGATCTACAATTTATGACATTAAAAGAAACCACGAGAAGATCAAGAAGTTCGTGTCAACTACTGACTGCGGGCCAGGCAAGAGACAGACACTTAAGAAAGCTGAACATCCAGAAGTGGAAGAAGCTTTGTACATGTGGTTTCTTCAGGAAAGAAATAGGCACGCACCAATTTCAGGACCCATGTTGGTCATGAAAGCTAAGTTTTTCTATAAGGAAATAACAAAAAAAGATGATTTTGTGGCCAGCAAAGGATGGCTAGAACGCTTTAAAAGTCGTCATGGCATACGTTTAATGACTATTACGGGAGAGAAACTTTCTAACGATGCCACCTGCATAGTGCCCTTTAAATTAAGATTTTTGCAAAAGGTAAACGATTTAAATCTTGACCCGTCACATGTGTACAATGCAGACGATTCAGATCTTTTTTGGCGTGTGATGCCTAACAAAACTTTCGTTTCTTGTTTCAAAAAATCCGTACCTGGACGAAAAGTAAGTAAAGAGCGTGTAACCATACTACCATGTGCTAACGCTGCGGGCACACACGCGCTTAAGATGATGGTCATTGGGAAATCTAATAAACCACGGGCATTCAAAAACATTGATTTACCTGTACACTATTACGGACAAAATAGTGCATGGACGACACAAGACCTTTTCAAAAAGTGGTTTGATGAATGCTTCGTACCTGAAGTTAGAAAATGGTTAAAAGATCATAATTTTCCTCAAAAAGCGTTGTTGCTTCTTGATAACGCTCCCGGTCATCCGTCTGAAGAAGAACTAACAACTGAAGATAAAGACATCACTGCGATGTGTCTTCCACCAAATTGCACTGCACTGATTCAACCAACCTACTTCTGAGAGCCGCATGAAAAGACCAACCAATAGAAAAAACTTTAAAAGAATTTAATATGAAAGACTTGGTTTTTGCTCTCTGTCAGTCGTGGAATGCGTTACCGTCATCAACTATTAAATCGTCTTGGAAAAAGTTATGGCCAGATATAGTCACCACTCCTAGCAACGTTCCACAAATCAGTGTTACTTCAGAAGTTATAGAACAAGTCGCTACTGAAACACAGATAAGTCCGGAAGATTTGGAAATCTGGTGCCGTGGAATGGATAAAGGGTAAAATGTTTTTCATGAAATGTCTGACGAAGAGATTATAAAAGAGGTTTCTAATTATACAACAATCAGGAAAATAACGAAGACTTGATTGCAACTGCTCCACAAGTCACAACACAAGACGCAATTAACGCCTTTGAGCTAGGTTTACAATGGGCTGAAGAGAATGGTACATCCTACAACGAACTTTTACTTTTGAGAAGACTGAGGGACAAAGCTCTGATCTCGCGTTATAACAATTTTAAACAAAAAAAAAATTGATGAATATTTCCAAGCTTCATAATTTAATAAATTCATTAATGATTTTGATTAATAATTCTTGATTATTTTGGTACATATGTATGTGCATTTATGCTTAATTTTATAATAAAACGTAAGCTCTCTATTATTTGATTTACTAAATTCGACATACATTTTTTTTATACTCCAACTACCACGAAGGCCTAAGGCCTAAGCACCCATTGGGTACCGTGGGGCTATAGGGGGATACATGGGAAGGGGGGGACAACATGCACACATTCTGGCTCCGCCTACGAGAACCGCCGGGTGGTACCTCCGCGTTCGACAGTCAGAGACCATCTACCATCTACGGACAATCACAACATCCATAGCCAAGAGAAACATTTCTCCTGGGACGGGACTCGAACCCGCACAGCGCACGGCGACTGATCAGGAGACCGAAGAGTGTACTACTGCGGCCACCGCTGCTGCCTGTACATAAACTATGTATGATTTGTACTTCAAAGTACATACATATACATAACATATATAATCTCTCACCTTTGGATATGTAATTTGTCGGATTACAAGGCTTTTGTAAAAAAATCCGGATTATAGGGGGTCTTAGGCAGTGCTCTTTAATTCGACAAATTCGATAGTCCGACACTGCCCTGCATAATGTTTGTCGGATTACCGGAGGTCCACTTACTAAACTACTGCAAGTTTCGTTGCGATTTAAGCGGTCTAAAATATCACATTTTTCTTTAACTGGCAATGTTTTGTGCTTTCGCTTCTGAGTTTGTTATGACATTACTAGGTACTATACTTAATACACAATGAATAAATAGTAAACAATAAACGCACGCTAGGCCGTACCGCTATCACCAGTAGTCAAATTCAAACTAAGTAAAACAATGCTTACGCGTCGAGCACGTTAGCGGTGGCGCGTACAAGTTGTAACCTGTTCAAACCTGCGTGATCTACATTACCGAAGATTGCCAAATACGTATGTATGTAATACATATTCAAAGACATGTCTGATTATATGAAGAAAACGAAAACCACAGGCCCAAATCTTTCCGTTCCGCCTATCAAAACGATTGATGTGAGGATCATAAGACCTCTTTTAAAAAGTTATATCCAAATATGTTATAAAAAGTACGGCATTCTATTCAAATAATGCAACTATTCTTACAGAACTAATTATTTCGAATACATCCGACGATGTAGAGTAAATTAGAGAATGAAGAGCGGCAGATGAGTCGTTTAGTTTCAAAGCCTCTAAATCCATTTTTCAACCAAATTGAGATAGCGAAGTCTTAATAATGTTTTAGGTACTAAAAAAACAGTAGGTCTAGCAACTTATCCCTGTGGTTGTCATGTTCAGAGGTATCCACTGTCTGGCCGAATCACACCACATATGTTTTAATTACCCTTTATTGTACCACGTTTCGGCCACCACGGTGGAATTCAATAGCAATTAATGACAGTACACTTTTGTGAAATTAGAACATATATGTGGTTTGTTTCGGCCAGATAAGATACGTTTCAAGATCCCCTAAATGTATAAGTGAGTGAAATCCAAAATCCCCTAAATCCATTTAGTAACAAAGCCCGCTAAACCTATAATATCTGGTTATATCATATACATGAAAAACAAAACCCGCCAAGTCCGACTATTTATTTTGGTGCGCTTATTTTTATATATAATGACGTCAAAGGAATCTGAATATCAGAACTAAACAAAGTAGAGATAAATGTGCAAAATTGAGAAATTTGAGTGAAGGCAGCAGCGGTGGCCGCAGTAGTAGACTCTTCGATCTCCTGATCAGTCGCCGTGCGGGTTCGAGTCCCGTCCCAGGAGAAATTTTTCTCTTGGCTATGGATATTGTTATTGTCCGTAGGTGGTAGATGGTCTTTGACTGTCGAACGCGGAGGTACCACCCGGCAGATCTCGTAGGCGGAGCCAGAATGTGTGCATGTTGCATGCACACGTGTTCCCTCGCCAGAGTCCGTGTGGCGTCCCCCCCTTTCCCATGTATCCTCCTATAGCCACACGGTACCCAATGGATGCTTAGGCCTTCGTGGTAGTTGGGAGTATAAAAAAAATGCTATGTAAACATTTTGGCTAACCATTTTCGAATTAAAAAATCTGGTGTATTACCAAGAGATTGCTACAAAGTTCGGGAAGGTAGTGGAAGCAGATGATGTGGGATATGTCACATCCAGGAAGCTGATATGATTTAATGTTTTTTTTTTAATTATCATGAATAGAATGATTCTCAAAAACAGCTGAAATTTAATTTGCTAATTCAATTGTTTCGAAAGCTTTCTAACAAAAAATTTGAGGTGTAATGTTAACAGGTTCTCAACTTTCAGCATGGTATTTACTGAATGCGATTGTGTCTGACCACATAAAACTAAGTTTGATTTTAGCTGAATCATGAAACACTTTCGGCAAAAAGTATAAAAAACCTGAGGTTGAATCCTAAAACAATACATTCACCTTCTCGTGCACCTCTATCCTATTTTCCGAGGTGACGTAATTGACGGTAATGACCTCGCCCTGCGCGGCTGAAGCTGTCCGATGTGGCGACCTTGGAACCCCCTTATCCATCGCACTGTTGCCCTCCAACAGCCCCTGCTTGAACTTGGCCTCCATATCAATTTCACCGGCCACTGGTAACGCGACCACCACCGATTTGCTACCGGGAGGAAGTTTCTCGCTCAAGCTCTTCGTCAACGCTTTACTACGTTGCATTTCTTTCTTGAAGGTATCCTTTACTTTTACCTAAAATTCAAATGGATATGGGCATCCGAAAAAGATGCATATTATTTTCGAGAAAACAGAACAGAAAACATTACATTAGATTTAGATAGTGTATACAACGTGCAAACCTTCAACAGCTGAAATTATGACTGAGTAAGCACCTTTTTGTCTTATCAAATCGAATTGGAGCATTGTGAAAATACAATAAAAAACAGTAGCCCAATTGAATAAGCGAAAATGGTCCAATGGAAAAATGCTTCATCGTTACAGTGCTTATAAAGACGAAGAAATTATCATTTGGTCCAATTTGCGATTGATCAAAACTGGTGTTAGAAGAAAAAATTAGCACACATACGGAAATCTTCGACATAATAGTTACTCATCTTCAAATTTAATTTCACGATACCAAAATATAGAACAAATAAAATGAATTTGATCACTGGTAACTTCCCATAAATATGTTTATTTACCAAGTACAGGATGTTAAAAATAAAAACCAACCTTTTTGGTTATTTTTTCGATCGACACAGCAATTATGTCGAAATCATCTCAAAGTCAAACACAATTATGTGTCTTATTCTGTTAGTAATATATAGAAAACGTCACTTTCTGCAAGAGCCGGAGAAAAATAAATCGACATAAACGTGCACAAAGAACCATATAGGCAATTTAGAATATAATTTGAAACTTTCGAGAACGTTTGTCTTCTATTTAAAAAATGGAATGTTAGAGAATTGTAGTTAGAGAAAAATACATATTTTACGAAAACAAACAATTTACCACAAATAAAAAAAAAAGATTTTGGGGTGAGACGTGCATTATGCAATATACCGTACAATAAACGTGTTAGTGCCATATTTTGTGATCACTACAAAGTTCAAACGTATTTTTAATTGAGATGTATACCATATTAGTAGCATATGCCCAGTGCTAACCTTATCCTTTTCCTTCCGTATCTTCTGCGGCAGCCCAGCAATGGTGCCCACATTCGTGGAACCCAGCACCGGAGGTTGATCATCGTCGTCAACTTGATCCACCTGGCTCAGTCTACGTTTCTTCTCATCCATAAAAAGATGCTCAGCTCCAGCGTACTTTTTGTTATTGTGTCGTACCAGCTCACTGTCGCTACCCCGACGCTCCTTTTGTTTTTCTTTGTAGTGGTTGTGTAACATGAACTTCGATTTCAGATCATTCTCCGCTGGCAACGTGCTCAAGAGATCCTATAAATAGAAGTGGAAATTATTTTCGAAATGATCATTGAACAGTATAAATTAGTAGAGTACGTTAGATTTCAAGTTTCTAATAAGAGCGTCCATTAAATCATTTACCAAATCAGATACTTCGTCGATCGAAGCATAGTGCTATTATCAGCTTGCTGGCGCTAGCAGTCATTTATTCGACCAAAGCTTAAATTAGTCTTCTTAGAGGCCGTTCCAGTATTACGGGGGGGGGAGGAATTCAGTGGATCGTCCTAATCTTGAAAGCAATCAACATTCACTATTAAAAACAATCGCGGATATAGCTTTATTTGGGAGTGCAGCAGATGATAGAAGACGAACGGAATCAATTCGCAGCGTAAAAACTCTTGATGAACTCACACAAGAATTACGTACAATAGGACATTAGTCGCAGTGGGACATATCTTCGTTTGATTCCCAGAAAATCTAATTCTGCAGAGGGACGAAGACACGTATCGACAGTCCCTGTTAAGCTCATTCGCGCCCAAACTGATCACCACAAGAGCCACTTAGCAAGTTCGCTGAAACATCAATCCATTATTTAGAGAACATAGCATCCATACTTGGACCAGATCAAGTATTTTTCATATCTCAAGATGATAAAGCTCGAGTCCCTATTGGCGTAACTGCGGCAAATAAGCAAGCACCTCTTCTAATGCACATAGAATATAGAATCAAATTGCCTGATCACGATGGGGTATTTGCTGAGCGTCATAAATTAATACCATCTGTTTATGCTGGTATCACAATCACTTCCTACTTCCAATATGCTAGGGCAACCACAAGCCGTTGGATATTCTGGACCAACATACATGGCTATTCGAAGTGGAAAGCATAGTTCATCTACTGCTAATAGTCATGGTCAGGATTTCGAGACGCTTCTCGAACTTGAAGAGTTTCGACCATTAGCTAAAACTGACCATGGACTAGTAAAACCAGTGATAATCATGACGGTTGATGGAGGGCCAGATGAAAATCCACGTTATCAAAAAGTCATAGGGTTTGCTATACCACACTTTAAGCGACATGATCTCGATGTATTGTTTTTAACTAAAAATGCTCCTGGAATAAGTGCGTATAACAGAGTAGAGCGCAGAATGGCTCCTCTTAGTCGGGAACTGGCTGGTTTAATATTACCTCATGACCATTTTCGGTCTCATTTGGATGAACGTGGCGTTACAATTGATGAACATTTAGAAAGATCTAATTTCGAATTTGCAGGAAATGTATTAGCTGAAGTATGGAGTTCAATGGAAATTGATGGCTATAATGTTAATGCAAAATATGTTGGGGCAGGTGAACAAGATCTTCCTGATTTTCCAGACATTAAATGGTATTCAGAACATGTGCGTGGGAGCGAATACTTGCTTCAAATTGTAAAATGTAGAAATACAGAATGCTGACGTCCAAGAAGTGGCCTATTTAGATTACTAGACAATAGGTTTCTTCCACCACCTGTAAAAGTAAAACAAACAGTTGATGACTTGGTTTTGGATGAAGGAGGGCAATTTCTTAATCTTCCAGTCAATTTAGCTGCAAATGCCCTACGATTATTTTTGTCCGACGGTAAAATTGAGGCTATCAAGTCGAACATGCAAAACGTGTGGTCATTATCATGCTTCCGTCAAGTCACTAAATCGTCACATCGAAAATATCCATAAAAAAGTAAACACGCAGACTGATAGGAAAGTTAGATCTGTAAGAGTCGCTGCTCGTCGTGCTAATGAACTGATGTGCATTATTCAAAATTTAGAGCACCATGATGTTGATTGGCTCGATGAGAACGACGTAGACATTCCAAAATCCGATGAAAGCGAGCAAACTCACAACACTGATCAGCGATCGAAGCAATCCAATGTCATCGAAAACTTAGAATCATGGATTCGGGTAATTTGAATTTAATATATGTACCAAAAATTTAAAATAAGTTTGTTTTGTTAGTAAGATATAATATTTTTGTCCTTTACTCTATGTTGAATACCGCATCAGTAAAATATAATCTCTATTCTAAATCTATTTTATTATTTTTCAAATTATAAATATAACGTTATAATTATAATATTAAAAAAAACCATACATTAATTGACAAATGTTTACGTAAGCATGGGGGGAGGGGTAAGAGCTTTGCTTACTTCTGCTGACAAGGGGGATGGGGGGGTAAATAATTGTAATAAATCTGCTTACGTAATACTTGAACGGCCTCTTAAACAGTTGGCTGGCTCATCTAAATATGTGGTCTTTACTAATCCTAAACGACACGAATAATTGAAGAAACAATCCGTGGTTTAATTATGAATGTAGGGCAGCAATATTAAATGAGCATATACAAAATATCAAATTCGTGGAAACTCATCAGCGTTAGCACCATACGAGCAGGTATTTAAACTTACCTTATGGTCATGCGTCATCTTCAGCTTCTTCTTCTTCTGATCCAAGTTGTTGATCTTGTGCTTGAGCAGCATCATCTCAGTCACCTTTGCCGTCGCTGTAGCCGCCTCCGTTGGTACCGTCGTCGCCATCGCGGCGCTTTCCTCATCTTCACCCGGTGTCATTGCACCACCTGCCGTCTCTTCCGTAGCTGGGGACTGCTCCCCTGCTGCTTCCGCCAGACCCTTCTTGGCCTTCTGCTGGTCCAGGCTCCTGCGCGCTTTCGGCTTGGAGACAGCTACACTAGGAGTGGCTACACTGCCGTCAGCGTTCAACTTGCTGCTCTTGTTTTTGATCACTACGGAGTTCCTGCCGCGCAACGAAATATGCAAAGGAGGGACGCGCAGTTCTTCACCGGTGGCTACTTGGCCTAGAACAAATAGATAACAAAAATTAAGACAAAAAAATGTTTCACCTTTTGCAATATCCCAAGCCAAATTGAAAAGACGCTAAAATATTTCATGCCAGTTGTTTTAATGAAGTTCAGCCAAACAAATTTCGTAAGATTCGCCTATATGTATATGGAAAAACAGAAACCAGGTTCTGCAGCTTCGATGTTTGGCCTGATATTTAACTGGTTGAAAAGTATAAAATACTTTGGAAATGGACAACGAGTAATTTTGGCGTTTGGTTTTTTACGGCCACCGATGACGTGTTTCCTTTCGCGAAGACAGCGACAGAAGACCGCGATTGACAGAAGTGACACTAGTGGCATAACTTCGTACAGAAAATCCACCGTCATTAAGCAAGCAAGAGATACAATCCATGTGATTTTTATTGCTTATCATACTTTTTCACATTTGACTATTTCATAGGGATTATTTGATAACAGATTGTAGGCATCCGTGATATGGCAAATATGACATCTAGCCTTACGTTCTCATCTCAGGCTTGGTTGCCGGTCGCGATCTCCTGTTACTGTGTACTATGAAAAATGTTTCATCAACTGGTATTTTTCATCGAAATAAGACAGCACGAAGCACGAAGTGCTATCTATTACCAGAATCGGCAACTGCGATAGTGATAGACCTTATACTCTGAATAGAATAGAGTTGCTCAGCTTTCGTTCGTTGTCCAGCGAGACCAAGCCTACACCATGCTGAAGTGTCGCCAAATAGCACAAAACAGCTCTCCATGGTTGGCCGTTTGTAGTTCGAGGTTGGACGAACAAAAGCTATATTTCTAGATATTTTTCATGTCTGATGTAATTCCAATAAAAAATGTTCATGGGTGCCAATGCAGTCGACTCTTAATTGGATAAGCAAATTGAGGCTTAAAGTTGCATATTACAAACAATGAATAATCTTTCAGATCCATATAATAAAGCAGAAATATATGTGACTATAAAGATAACTGGTTTACTTGAATAACTTTTCGACGGTAATATGTATTTCAATTAATTTTTTTAAGCAGTTCTTCCATACAGGACTATGACCATGACCAATTTGCTTGAAAACATGCATGAAAACATGAAGATAAAAAACTACTACTACTACTACTGTTTAGAAAAAGCTGAACAAATATAGTTCTTGTTGTTATCGTCTCTGTAGCGAAAGTCGATGAGACATCCTGATACAGCATCTGTCACTTTATTTTTGTGTTCTATCTAAATTATTTATTGGCCTTCATTTCTAAACATTTCATATATCAACCATAGTTTCAGCGTGTACATATTGGATCTCCCTTTAAATATTCTTAATGTAACGACAAGAACCTCGATAGTATTAAGCTCTATGAATACAAATATCTCACCTGTATTGTTCATAACAGTGTTGGTTGCAGCCTTCTTCGGTTGCTGCGAGTTGATAAAACTGACGTCCACCTTGTACGCTGGATTTACCGGTTCCGACTTTTCAAGCCTTAAGGTCAACTTGATCTTCTCCGGCTTGCCCGCCCCCGTGGAGGAATGCTCGCCTCTGGCGGCGGCGACTGTAGAGTTTCTCTCGCGCGCCTTGGCGTTTTTTAATCGCTGTGTCTGCGACGTTTGGTAAGACTTCATCCCTCCGTCCCCACTCAGCCGCGTCTCACTGTCACTTTGATCGGTCGTCGTGTCCGGACGCATTGTCGATGAAGTGTCGTCATCTTCAGTCAGAGCTGCGGGCGACGGTAAGCCTAGATTAGATATATGGATTTAAGTCAACAAAAATTTTTTCGTACGAGACATGATGGCGGCCTGCGTATCTTTTTTTTTATTTATTTAACCGCATCGACCTACTGGCCATTAGCGGCGATGGTTATAGTGTCACAGTTTGTACAATAAGTTATTTTGTTTCAAGCCACGAAGTAAGTTGTATACGTTACAATTTGGTCCTAAGATGTTTTCTAGAGTTGAGGATAAAATGTTACAGTTAACTCTATAAAAGTCTAGTAAAGGGCACTGCACCAGTATATGTTTAACACTCGGTGTCACTTCACATATTTCGCACATAGGTTCTGCTCCTTGGGTGATGGGGTATTCATGTGAAGCCCTGGTATGTCCTAGACGGAGTCGGGTGATCAGGGTTTGATGTCTTCTCTGTTTGTTGTCATTGTAGTCCATGGTCCGAATTTAGGTTTCAGTTCGGGTAGCTTCGATGGATGGTTTTGCCAGTTGATATTCCAGTCTTCAACGAATTTATTTCTCAAAAAGACCTTGATGTCTGAAGCTGGAATGGTTACGTGTGATGGATCATTAAGGTTTCCTGCAATTTTTGCCTATTTGTCGGCTTTTTCGTTGCCTTTGATTCCTATGTGGAAAGGTGCCCATATGAAGACTACATTGTTATTCTCCAACTGCAATGCATATAGGATTTCTTTAATTTGATGTGACAGATGATTGTTTGTGTATATCTTTTCGATAAGCAAAAGAGAGTTGAGCGAATCCGTTATAATCAACGATTTTTGAATGTGCTTATCTCTTATAAGTTTTATTGCTTCTAGTAGTCCGTGCAATTCTCCTGTTAGAATTGTAGCTGCATCTGGTAGTTTCATTGTTAGGGTGGTGGTAGTTGTCACAACAGCTGAACCTACTTTGTTGTCTATTTTAGATGCATCGGTATATATTTCTTCATATGTTTCATACTTATGAAGTATTTTCTGGAAATGTTGTATGATTACTGGTCCAGGAGTTTCTGTCTTATTTATTTTCAGCAGTTCTTTATTGATATTTGGCTTATCTATAATCCACGGTGGAATGTTTGTATTAGTTTCCGGTACTATACCATCAAGCTGGGAGATTCTAATATCCCTTAAATATCTAATGGTTCTCGTGTACTGTATTGGTGTTGCTTGTACTTATATGTGTATTAGCCTGCATCATGTTCCTGTGGGCCGGTATATTTGTGTTAGATGAAAGTTTGGTGGCGCATTCTAAACTCAATATCTTTCTTCTGTCATTCAATGATAGTTCCCCAGATTCGCAATATAAACTTTGGATAGCTGTTGTCCTGAATGCTCCCAGTATCCAGCGAATTGCTCGGTGGTGTATACTATCCAGCCATTTGAGGGCAGTAGGACTAGCTGAAGAGTAAACTATGCTACCATAATCTAGTTTTGATCGTATTACTGAACGGTATATGCTCAAGAGTGTTTCACCCTCAGCTCCCCAGTGTCTGTTTGATAAGTATTTTAGAACAGTTATCCTTTTCTCGCACGATTTGGCTAAGTATGCAATGTGCTTCTTCCATGTCAGCCGCTGGTCAAATATGAGTCCTAGAAATTTTATGTCGCATGCTTTTTTGTATCAGGTGAATATTAGTTGTTAGGTTTCTACCTCTTCCAAATATTAACATGTCGTCCGCATATAGTCGTACGTGAATTGGTTTTTCTAGGTGATTCGATATATCGTTGACAGCAATTAGAAATAACGTTGAACTGATGATCGATCCTTGAGGAAATACCGTTATCCTGTGATCTGGGCTTAGTCAAAACTCCATTCGACCGGACTTGGAAACTTCGGTCTTTCAGAAAATTGGAAATGAAGGCAATCATGTTCCCATCGTATTTCCATGACTGTAGTTTTGAGATTATATCTCTCCTCCATGTAGTGTCAAATGCTTTTTTCATGTCGAAATATACTGCGAGGCAATGTTGCTTGTTGCTACAAGCTTCGTGTATATGTGTATCAAGATCGATGATATTATCTATAGTGGATCTATTTTGTCTGAATCCGGACTGCTCGTTTATTAGACGATTTCCTTTCTCTAAACTTCACAGCAGCCTTTTGTTGATTATTTTTTCTAGTAATTTACACATAGCACATGTTAAGGATATCGGTCGATATGATTCTGGTTCGAGAGGTGATTTATTAGGCTTAAGTATAGGTATAGTGAATGCTTGACGCCGTATATTTGGGAATAGGTGTTCAGTCCATATTTTATTATACATATTTAGTAGGTGTTGTTTTGCTGTTGCTGGGAGTTTTTTCAGAAATATGGAGGGTATATCATGAGGTCCTGCACAAGTTTCTTTTAAGTCGTTAAGTGATTCCTCCATTTCGTGCTCAGAAATTGTTTTGTTCATTGGGTCTTGGTTCTTCTGGATTAATATTTGTGTTGCTTCTACGTTGGTCTTGTGTATTAGAAATTCTTGATTGTAATACTGGTTACTAGAATTTTTATGGTAAGTTTTACTGAGTGCTTCAACTATTCTTCCGCTATCTATATGTGTTATATTGTTTTCTTTTAAGTATCTGATTGGAGAGTATGATGGGGCTCCAGCTACACTTTTGATTTTTTTACAAACTGTCGCTAGTGGTGTTGAGCTATTTATACTGCCAACAAAATTCCTCCGGGAGTCTTTTTGATTCTTTTTTGTTGTTAGCTTAGCGTGTGCTCGTTTTTCTTTAAGTTCTATCAAATTTTCGATAGTTCTGTGTCTTTTAAACGTGTTTACTGCTTGCTTAGTTACCTTGATTGCTGTATTACATTCTTCGTTCCACCATGGAACAGGAATTTTATTCATAACTAGTTTAGTTTTACCAATGCTGGTGTGTGCTGCATTTATAATAATATTATTGAACTCGTGTATTGTTTCATCAATGTTCTCTCTTATTTGAGTTTTGTGTAAGTTGTGTTCTATATATTTCGAGAAGTGATCCAGTCTGCTTTTTTGAGGTTCCACTTTTCAGGTAGTGTATCACTGTTCAATTCTCCTGGGTTAGATATGACCATAGGAAAATGGTTGCTTCCATACAAGTCATCTAATACGCTCCAGTTCAGACGGGTTACAAGATTTGTCGAGCTTTAGCTCAAACCTATTGATGATTTGTTCCAGTTCCTAGATCAAGTCTTGTTTCAGTACCATCGTTTAGCAGATTAAGATCTGTTGTATCCAATATATCTTTTATTATTTTTCCTCGAGTATTGTTTCTTCTTGATCCCCAGGTGTGATGATGGACGTTAAAGTCACCTTGGATAATTCGAGGTGATGGTACTTGTCGGAGAAGTGTCTCCAGTTCATTTGTATCTAAGTGATAATTGGGTGGTATGTATATATTGCAAATGCTAATATTCTGAGAGCCTTCGATTGTGACTGCGACTGCCTCCAGCTGAGTGTTAAGGTTTATGGGATTGGCTACTATGTTACTTTTGATATAAATGGCAACACCTCCACTAAAGAATCCCCTTGTAATGGTTTGGCGTGTGTGTTTTTGTTTCGTGGAATCGAGTTTCTTGTAAACAAATTATGTCAGGGTTGTGATCTGAGATGAGTTTATGTAACATGTTTAAATGGCTGTGGTATCCATTTAGATTCCATTGTAAAAGCGACCTAAGACCAATGGCTTTAGGCAGCAGCGGTGGCCGCAGTAGTAGACTCTTCGGTCTCCTGATCAGTCGCCGTGCGCTGTGCGGGTTCGAGTCCCGTCCCAGGAGAAATTTTTTTCTTGGCTATGGATGTTGTGATTGTCCGTAGGTGGTAGATGGTCTCTGACTGTCGAACGCGGAGGTACCACCCGGCGGATCTCGTAGGCGGAGCCAGAATGTGTGCATGTTGCATGCACACGTGTTCCCTCGCCAGAGTCCGTGTGGAGTCCCCCCTTTCCCCCGTATCCCCCTATAGCCCCACGGTACCCAATGGGTGCTTAGGCCTTAGGCCTTCGTGGTAGTTGGAGTATATATAAAAAAAATGAACATAGTATATAATTTAATATGTTGTGGAGTCCATTGAAGAGGTGTCGCTGAGACATTCGTTAATGTTATTATCAGTATATCGTTCTAGTTTTTCCGTAGTCTAGTACATCTGTTTTTCACTGCTCTATCTGCTATGTGAGGGTACACCAGTAGTATCATTTCAATAAGCCCTTTAGTGTCATCTGTGTAGTCTTGGATTATGCTCATTATATCATGGGTTCCATGAGTGTTTTCTAGGAGGCTTTTGAATTGGTCACTATTTAAGGTAAAAGCAGGGGTTTGGGCATCTATGAATGTTTTAACGCCTTCATATGCCTCTTGAGAGATATATGACGGCTGACTATTTGTCTTTTGTTTCTTTATTCTTGTGTTTTTAGGTTTTGGAAATATAGGGGAATTTGTGAGGTCTGATGAGGGATCATGTGTTGGTGTGGTCGGCGAAACTGCTTCTGAGAAATTTCGTTTGGAGAATGTGCTGGTTTGTGTATCCGTTTGGTTATTATAGGTTTAATCATGCAATGCCCCTGTGTTCTGTTGTTCTGGTTGAATTGGTTTGATATGACTTTCAATCTCTGCTTCTTGTGGATTGGTTGTATATTGAGTTGTTGATGGTTGATGACTTGGTGCTGTGGTTATTTGTTGCTCGTTTACTTGTTGAGTGTTTGCCGTTTCCAGTTGATTGGTAGAGTGTGTTGGTGTTTCGATTATGTTTGTTTGCAGTTGGGTAGAAAATGGGCACTGGGAAGCTATATGTCCTTGTCTATTGCATTTGAAACACTTTTGGCTGTCTAATGATAGAAAAATTAGTTAGGTTTTCATGCGTTATTTCTAGTGACTCTGGTGGATTTGCCGAATCTTGGTTGGGTTCAATATATACTTGTCTTCTAAAACTGAGTATATGGCTATACTCAGCCAATGGAGCTCCAATTCTCAAAAAAGTAAATGGTGAGACTACTTTCAGACCAATTTGTAATAATTTTTCATTTATAACTGTGTGTGGGACTGTGAAACTCACATTCGAAATTACTAGTCGATCGGATGGTGTTATTAGTCTGCGTGCTTTTATGATCTCACCATTGAGTTCTATTTGTCCAGGATTTTCTAGAAATGTATCGACTATATGTTTACTTGCTAAGTATATACAAATTCTGTTATTAGAAATTCTAGAACAAAAAAAAGTATATTTTTGGGGTGATTATTGGACCAAGTTTGAGTAAATAGTCCTGCAGTCTAGTTCCATTACTAGAATTAAATATTATTGCTTGATCTTTATTTGGATATCTGAATGTATTTTGAGTCAGTACGTTGGAGTATGATTGAGCTGTTGTGACATTTTGGTATACATTTTGGTGTTCAACGGATGCCATTATTGAATTTCGATAATCGCTCCAGGTGGCCGTCGTATCATTTCTCGATACGGACCTGTCTCCGCGAGACTATGTGTTTTGGAGAGTTTTTATTATGATGTGCTGCACGAGTCTGCTGTACGGTTTATTATTTATTTCGATTTCTGATATAATTAATCAGATAAAGGTTGAGTATGTACTCACAGTGTGTCCGTATAGACTTAAACTGTTGCACTGGTGCTGTTGCAGAAAAATTTCGTTTGATTTTCACTAGTATATTGTTAAAATTTGTAGAGGTTCGCTGTATAGCTAACAAGGAGATTTCAGTCAGGACCGAACTCTCCCCTGCGTATCTTTGTTCATAAGATTTTTTTGAAATTGAAGCTGAATTATATGCACTGCGAATTTCTTATTATAAAATCTCAAATTTTACTTTGCACTGGATCTCTGTACAACGGTTTTCCTGGCAGAGATATTCGCCATCACAATAGAGAAGTACAACAGTCTACTAAGTGGAGCAACTATAGGATGTTACAATGTTAAGCATCGCTTCTAATTAATGATGTTATTCAATTTTTGGCAGTTTAAAAGTCGTTGCTGTTTCCGTGTTTTTCCCTATAATTGGGTACCCCCACTTTTCGCTACTATGATCTAAGCCCAATTGTTTTTTTTTCTAGCTTTATGGTGCCGTTTTAGAGAAACTATTTTCACTTTTCACGCCTACTGGCGTAGAAGTATTGTAATCGCGAAACATTTACCCGTCGGCCTGTCTATCCGCTAATCCTTGGCACGTCTATGACTTGGAAACTACCGCTCGGATTTTGGTGAAATTTTCACACCAGAGAACGAAAAATGTTGTAATTTTTTAAAATCGGTTGAGTTGAAAAAAAGGAAAAAATAGGAAAATGGTTTAAACTTCGCTTTTTTTAATGTTTCATAAGCTTCTGAGCATTTTCAGAAAAAATAAATCATTTTTTTTTGCGGCATTATATTTATACGCTTCCAACCCCGCTAATTTCACGCTCCTATTAGTATATTTCACAATTGACAGCCCTCCAAAGAATTTACTTTGAGTCCTGGGAAATGCACGTCAAAATAGATAACTATAAACAATAAAAGAGAATTCCTATAAATGTCGGATGGCCTAGTGCAATGATAGAAATCAGCTCATCATTTCGGAAGGAAATTCTCAGTTAGCGAATCTCTTCCAATGGATTCCTTGACATGAAATCAAATGAGAGCGCACGCAATGAAGCAATGCGAAGGGAAGCGACATGTCATATTTCAAGATTGCCCAAGTAAGCGTGCAATTTAAAGGTGCCGTTCCCCGCGAAGTCAGCGACATGAGACCAAGCCTGAGAGCAAAATGATATTAGTCATACTACATACGCAATCAATCTGTTACTGTCACATGTTAGCTGTTATATAATAACAGCCATGCGCGTTAAGCCTCTTATAGTGACCACATAAATATACGGATAAATGACAAAGGACTGTCGTCCGGTATTAAAGACTGTAACAGAAAAAGTGACACTGACAATCAAATCATCCGAAGTCATCCGAAGAAAGTAGATCAAGTCACTATACACGGTCAGTTGGTTATGGAAATATAAATATGGGTATGGTGCGGCAAAATGCATATCAGTGGCTAAATATTTAGATTTATTTCCATTTTACGCATACCCATACAAATTGAAGAATCCGCTATAAAAAAAATCTAGTGGATTTGGGCAGTATTCAGCAAATGCTCATTGTTTCTTATTTTTAGTGCTGATACACATTTATTCCGTCTTCCATTCGAGAAGAGCGGAAAATTCACTAGCCACAACATTTTACAATCGAATAGACAATTGATGTCTTCATCATCCTAAAGGACTTCCAACACTACCACTGCTTCATCCCATAACTACAGATTGCCTTGATTAATTTTCACCATCACCTCACCAGCCACGTTCAAGCAGTTGAAATCATAAAAAAATCATATACGCAGAATTCGAGCTTCAGCATTTGACAATTTATTTTGACAACTCATCAACTATAAACCTATTTCCATAGCCCATATGGACTAATCAGTCACCACACACTGATCGGGAAAAGTAGGTGTGAGTGGTAAAGGTCCGACAAAAAAGCAATGAAAGACCCTGTGGGATTTAGTGATAGTGCTCACAATATCGGCAAAAAGACGGGTCTTTTGGTTCCCTGCTTGTAGGGCTTCACCTTCTATTCGTTATCGCCACTGAGAAACGAAACTACTTGACACTAACCTGTGAACACATCCTTGGTATCTTCGGTATCGCTCTCCCCGCTGCTCTGCGGCTCCAGCTCGCCGGTCAGCGGGTTGATGAGAAATTTCCTGTTGTCTTCGGGAGGAGTTATCTCCTCCGTGGATGATATTATGTGCGAATGATCGTTCAGAAAATCCTCCGGCAGGTCTAGCAGAGGGCTGGCAGTCAACTCGCGCTCCAACGTCGGCAGCAACTCATCTAAATCGTCCGCCTGTGGGCAATCAAATCAACAGTATGAACAGTTTGTTCCAGCAAAGCTCATCTGGTTATTTCTTGGGTAGCTGCAAAATATACCTTCCAAAATGACCTTCTTTACCCTATTCGTAGTGCATTGACGCCCCGGCACAACAAAGATGCAGAGCGGCAAATCGGCAGCCGCCTAAGCGTTGAAATAGTTATTGGTCATTAGACCATAAAACTACGAACAAGTTGCAGGATTCGACAGGATAGAACTCAGGCTCGGGATATCGCCGGCACGCCGACGCCGGCAGTTGCTGTTCATATTCGGTACATACATAGCGTGTGTTTATACGGTAGCATGTCGTCTACGGCTCTATGGATACAGCAGATGAAACTTGTTAAAGAATATAAAAAAAAATGTTCCACCACACAAGAGGCTTCATTACACGAAGCTGTTGGATACAGTTGATAATTTTGATCGGAATGCCATCAGTCAAAAAGTCCATCAATTTTTTGAAAGGCAAGAACTTCGCACTATAGACAAAGTATTACAGGAGGTTAATAGTGATGAAGAAGACTTACCTACTTTCAAAATTACCACATTCTATAGTTTACTCAAAGAACAGCATGATTTTCTTCAAAACAACATATATTCTTCAATAATTGAGATATTTACATGAATCAAAAAAGAACTGTTGAGAAAAGTTGAGGGTTAAAATTCTCTTACGAAGACACATTATTCAGTAATCCAATGCTTCCACAGGGTGTTCAGAAATTTAGAGCAGTTACACACTGTATAACAACATTTTAAATTTGTTTGTAAGATCGACAGTCGATAATGATGACAATGAAATTAACTACAAATTAACGAAATTAATGCAAAGGTTAAACATTCATTTCAAAATTAGTTTGATAAAAATTTTGCTTGTCCGGTTAATTTTGCGTGGCAGTGTATTTTATATAAGGAAATAATCATAAAATACAAATATCGAAAAAGACCATATGAAATTTGATTCATTAGATCCTCAATTTTCAGTTCAATTTTTCAAATATTCAGCTAGAAACCTGATAGTTTCAGTTTCTGTCTTATTTAGTTATCAAGATCTTCTGCCATGACTTAATTTTCGGTTATTTTTCAAACAACTGATAGTCAAATATCAGTTAAAACGTTTGAAGCAATACTAGTGCTTCTGTTTAAACTATATTTTCCAACAGTTGTCCTTATCTATTTCTTTGCAGGTCAAAGTATTTCCCAAATTCTGACATTCCTGGATTCATAACATCCCTAATATTCTGTCTAGTTTTTATTTTTGAACCTATCGAGCATGTTTATGGGAAACAACAATACCCTAATATGCAATCCATACCTTAAGATCGGTAAGCGTCGGTGTAAGATCCATCAACGGATTACTATGCGCCAGGCTATCCCACGGCCTAGATATCGCCACCGAATACGGAGGCGGCGACGGCAGACTGCGCAGCATCACATTGTTCAAACTGGCCGGATTGGCCTGTACCGCGGGCACAGGATCCGCGTTTGGACCAATCGCAGCACTTTGTCCCTGCTGTTGATGGAGCATGTTTATGGCCATCTTCGACTGCTGTTGTTGTTGTGGATGTTGTTGCAACAAGGAAGCAGGCATAGAAGCGGTTTTCATCTGTAGTTGCTGCTGATGCAATTGTTGCTGTTGGGATAACACGTTATTGTGAATCTGCAACAAGGAAATAACATGTAATGATAACATTGATAACATGAATGAATGAATCGTGAAATTAAAGGCATTCCTGCCACCATAAGTAGCCAGTGCATAGATCGTTTAAACGGGCCCTTATGCACCTCTACATTCCTTAGATCACAAGCCTCGTTCTTTTAGCGAAGGAGAAACGCCTCGAGTTCAAGCTCCTTGATGTCTTGAGGGTACAAAGTAATGGACCCCAGTATAGTCTGCCTATAGTAGCTCAGAGCTTCACAGCGACACAAAACGTGCGCCGAGGTCTCTTCCTCTGCCCCGCAGCGCTCACACAAGGGATCCTCAGCCACCCCCATCACGTACAGGTAGCGCCTTAACGTTTATGGCCAGACAACAGTCCTACCAGCAACCTTAGGTTGGCTCTATCCAGAGATAAGCAGAAACGCCCATCCTTAGCATTGGGCCCTTCAATGAGTTCCGTGCCTGGCGGAGATGTCTGGAGATACTTCTCCATTTCTGAGAGTGTTTTGCAATCCACGTCTCCATTTTCCTCCTAACTCTATGCGCGGGCACTCCTAAAGCTGGCTAAGGACCAACGAGCTTGCTGGCTGATCCTGTCTTCGACAGAGCGTCCGCGGTCTCATTGCCCCTTATCCCAGCGTGCCCCGGTACCCACATTAACGATACCGGATGCCTCGCTGCGAGGCAATCCAGATGCTCCATGCATTGCAATACAAGACTCGAAGTAATCTTACAGGCACTTAGTGCAGCCTGGCTGTCGGATAAGATTGTTATTCTTCTCCTAGGCCCATCCTCCTCCAGAATGCGAGATACACAAGCCAGAATCGATAACATACTAAGAACCTATAGAAAACTAAATAGACAGGTGCTGCGGTATCTATATTATATAATATGTCAATATAAGCGAATCATGATAAAAACAGTGATTTATCACCAGTGTCATTCTAACCACGGGTCGGATTATTATCCTGTCTTTTAAGAGTGTGTATGTATTGTTTTAGGTCTCACATATATTATCTATTTGCTGAATTACTGTAAGTAGGTGTTACTGATGTTTGTTGTTTAAACAGATGTCTGGTGGCTGCATTTCAGGCGGCGGAAATCTGCCGCGGCTGACGCAAGATAATCCGCAACAAATTCTTAATATTGGGTATTGCGAAAATGTGATATTAGTTGGTAATGATCATAACACGCATGTTTATATTCAACCACGATGGAAGATACAGCACGCATTAGCAATTCTGGAGCAAAAACCAATTACACCCCTACAACTGGTACGATAAGCTCGAAAAAAAGTCGCTCAATAAACATTAACGACAGATTTAGAGATAGTGACACAGGCTCATATTTTTTATTTAAATATAGACCGGCCTCATCCATTGAAACTGGGTGAAAAAATAGCAGAACTAGTTGAATATGAAAAACACATTTTAGAAATAAGCACGGTAGGCCGTAATCACATAAAAATCGAACTACGAGGCATGTTTTTAAAGTAAGTACCGTTTTCAAATTACGCCGCCGCAGCGCTGCGGTCGCCGTTTAGCGCATGCGCGTCGTGTAGCTGCATCTGTTGGGAAGCCACAGACGCCATTACGGAAGCATCCGAACGAGTTTACATCTGTTTGCCTGATTTTAAAATGCCACCACCGATTGAGAATCGTAGATTGGGGTGATATCGTCAATAAACTCATAGAAGAGTCCTTATTCGAAACGAATAACCTTGTAGAGTACATCCCTAGTTACCTTACTGAGAATCATCATTTAACCAGAGTTGTTGATACCGCTATCAACGAAAAATCACTAGTAAATATCGTAAAATCTAACATTCCTGTCAAAAAGACTTACAGAATGACGAGAATGGTCAATAGCGGACACTCGTATGTCCGGTTCCCCACACAAACTTTTGTTGTCAAGCTGTTGCTACACTATTTATCTTTAAAAACAAAGTCGGATGACCTGTTGAAGATATGTGTGTTCAATTTGAACTTTTCGTACCGTTGAAGGCCTCCCGATGACAACCGTTGATCTTTTAAAGCTGTCCGATTCAGAAAGTCCTACATAAAGACGTACAAAAGTTCTTCTATTAGGTACTACACTCTGAGGAAATCTTTCATAATAAATGCGTCTTGCAGCATTAGTTTCCATGTGCCATTCCATAACAGAAATGCATATCTGTCATTTCTCAATTAGTAAATTGATCCATATTGGACGAAAAAATAACCACTTAAAACACTTCACAAAAATTATAAACTAATAGCTTATAAACACTAAGTTGTTTACTAAATGGGGCAATCGTTATTATTTACTATTCCTTAGTTTAGTAAAATTCATTAGTTTAAAATTTAATTTAGTGTTTATTTGTTGTCGTTACATAATTAGTAATAAAAAGATATAAAAAAATATTATCAAAAAAAAATGTTTCCCCATATTCCTTGCGTGGTCTAGGGATATGAAATCGAGTTGACTTTTTTTCTCGGAAACTAAGCAAGATAAGAAAAAAATTAAAAGACCAAACAGTTGTATTTCTGTTTGCTTAATCCAAAGAACATAACAAAAATTGCACAAAAATCAGTGGCGTACATTTTTTTGTCACAAATATTCGTTCAGATACCGCTCAGGACGCCACAGGACTTAATAAATTTAATCACGTTAGGGCTAAATTAGCTCCTTAATGTTATAAATACCACCGCCAAATTACAACAAAATTGGGTAAAGGATATTTATGAAATTAACGAAAAAACATTTTTTTTTATTTTAACACCTTGTATCTTTAGAAGAATAAGGTAAAGAAGGTAACTTGATATTATTCTTATACAGGCTACTACGTGCAGAAACCACAGAGTGGCACTGATTGTCAATGGGCGGAACGAACTCTAGGAGGGACCAACGAAAGATTTCAACACAATACTGAATCGCTGAGAAAGAAAGATATAATACAATCAATAAACTATCAAATTTGCCAAAAGGAAATATTAAAAACGATTTGGCTTAGGAATCGCTACTCTATCATTAACTAAATTACTGGTTAATGATCAAAATAGTGAAAAAAAGGCTACGTGATTTTGGTACGTTACAAACTATGTGATAATGTTAGGAGACTTCAATATATTCTTTTTCGATTGATCACAAATTATTAAAAATATACCAGAATTACATCACACACACTCAAACTGTATTAGACTTGATCATTGAAATTTTCAAGTGTGATATAGCAAACTCATCCACTCTTATGGTACTGAGGCATGCTGCTCTTTTATGTAAACTTCCATCTTAGGTACCTAGGGTATCGAAATTGTGGAACAATCTACTTGAGGAGGTTTTTACCAGTTCTACTAACCTTACGGACTTCGAAAATTGGATTAACCTTCATAAACCCGAGCGGGGTGCAGTTGCACCCCAGACATCAATTTTTGGGGGTATTTTCGGAAATATTTTTTTTAACTCAATTTCCTTCGAGGTATGTTTCTTCAATATATTTCTTATTCAGTATAAAACGTTTTAAAGAAATTGCTATTTATGGTAACAAGTTATAGTGAGTTTTGTATATTGGGATTCAGCTGCACCCCGCTCGGTATTTAACGGCAGGAATGAGATTACGAATCTGACATAATTTTTGTTTTAACAAAACAAAAGTTACAAAAGATAAATTGGCAAAGGACTTCACGACTCAAAAAAAGAGTAATCGGTGGCCGATGGGAATATTTTTCCATCTACTGGACATTGATGGCATCAACGCCTAAACTATGGGGGTTGAAAAATCTAGATTAGAAAAAGAATCGTTTGGATAGAAGAAGAATGTTTTTGTTGAAGTTGGGCCCAGAATTAATAAGGAAAACTATAATTCGTAGGTACCATAATGGCAAGCTTTCATATTCCTATATAACAATCCATGTTAACCATTTTTCCAGAATTAAATGTAAGGAATGAATAACCTGTTATGTAATAATGTTTACAACAATTGTACTATATGGTTCAACAAGCAATTATTTTGCTTAGCTATGATTTAAATCGATTAATCATAAGTGTTCTAAACCACTGCCATTAATGTCTAATCAGTTACGTGTTGAACGACAAGGAGGACACACGTTCGCTTGGCTAAACACGACGCGTGGATTCGCCGAGCTCGCTCTCGAAAAGTATACTGATTCCCTCAATGTTGATCTTTCTATCGTGGACAATCAACATTCAGATCATTATATTATATTAGTGCAGTAAGTGCTTCCCGCTATGCCGCCGCCGCCGGTCGGGGCAGGCGGCGTTAATGGAAAAACTAAAAACAATAACAGTGGTACCGTTGGTGTCTTCGATCTCACATTTGATGATGAATCCTCATTACATCAAACGGAAGATATAGTGCAAAATATATCTAATAGCTCCCCCGCCAGCACGGACCACAGTGCTTCGCATCAAGATGACGATAAGTACCAACATGACAATGTTTATGTATTTATTGAAAAAACCAACTCGGAAAATCTCGGTAGGTTGCATCATCTATACGTAGGTCATATACTACATAAAAAGTTGGGTTTACGTAGCATAATAACAACAATTAGCCGTGTTGGAGTAAATAGGGTAAAGGTTGGCGTTAGGTCAATCTCTCAAGCAAATAGCCTGGTCCTAAACCCCAATCTGAAAAATGAAAATATGAAGGCATTTATGCCGAATAATTTATAACACCGTAAAGGCTTAATCAGAGGTGTAGATACGTACTTTGATGATGCATACCTGAGAGATAATATAGTCTCACAGAACGGTATTCTCGACATAAAAATATCCGAAAATGGTGCACAAAAATTTATTTCCAGGCAGATGGTTGTGATTACCTTAGAGGGCAATGTTCTTCCCAGGGAAGTGAATATTAACAGTGTCATATTTTCTGTCGAGCCCTTTGTTCAAAGGGTAATTCAGTGCTACAAGTGCCTGAGATTTCGTCATGTGTCTAGCCAGTGTCGCAGCGCACAATCGCGCTGCGTTATATGTGGTCAAAATAATTCTGATAATCACGATTGTGACGAATCAAACATTTCTTGCATCTACTGTCAAAATAATAATCACAAATCTACTTCCACCATCTGTCCTCATTTTCAGAAACAGCAAAAAATCAAAAAAATAATGGCCACAAGCAATATGTCTTTTTCTGATGCAAAAAACTCAGTTGAGAATTCGTATGCTAATGTGACTACTAATAATAGGTATGAAATAGACTCAGCCTTAGCTGAAAATTTTCCTCCTCTACCTCGACGTAATCAAAACATAAGAAATCCCTCTCAGCCTTTCCAAAGGTATCACCAAACGTATCCTCTCTCCACTCTAGGATCCAACAAAAAAAGAAAAGTTCAATCTCCTCCAGTAATCAACGCAGCACCCATGTTCCCCTTTAATGCAGGCCCTTCAACATCTATCCTTTCTAGTCAAAGTTATCAACCATATGTATCCGACAAAGATGAGATCATTGAGAAGCTATCAACTCTTCTGTATCAATTAATAAACAGTGCTCAGAATTTTGATGAACTGAAAGAGCTAAGCAAAGATACAATTAAAAATCAAGTCTACTCGTATATTAACATACAACAAAAAAATGTGTAGTCGAAACAACGCAGCGAATATCAAAATACTGCAATGGAATGCTCGTTCTGCCGTGTGCAATAAAAACAGTCTTGCTAACTTCATCTTTCATAATAATATAGACATTGCACTTATCAGCGAAACCTGGTTTAAACCAGCGCTTACCATAAGATTTCCAGGATACAACATAGTGAGAAAGGACCGTGAGGATGGCAGAGCAGGAGTAACGATTATGATAAAACGGGGTATTCCCTATCAAGAAATCGATCTTCGTATTGCTAACCCAAATATAATGGTATGTGGTTTGAGTATCACCAAACATAACCTTGACTTATCTATTTTTTCAATTTACAAACCACCTAATATTCGATCCAGTGCTTCCGATTGGGAAGAAATTCTTTCATATTCTCGCTCTTCCACTATCCTTGGTGGAGATCTAAATGCCCACTCCCAGTCATGGGGCTCTGACTATGACGACATTACAGGGAGGCAAATTTTAGAATTTTGCGACTCATCAAACCTGGTGATAATGAACGACGGTACACCTACAAGATTTGTCGCTCCTAACATTCGGAAATCTGCTCCTGATATCACCATTTGCAGCCCACATATTGCCCAGTTGACATCATGGAGAGTATGCGATAATACACTTGGTTCAGACCATTTCCCTATATCCCTGGATATAACCTTCACTCATCACCTAAACCTAAACGAAATAATTAACCCTAAGTATAAATGGACTCTGAAAAAAGCTGACTGGCTTTCTTATCAGCTTCTTTTACATGATGCATTTTCTTCAATCCCAACCTTTGATTCAACAGAAAATAAGTACAAGTATTTCATAGAGACTGTCAATAGGGTGAGCGAGCTATGTATCCCTACTTATAAATCATACAAAGCGGGTCATCGTGCACCTCCACCCTGGTGGGATGATGAATGTTTTGAAGCAACCAATCGAAGAAAATTTGCCCTTTCCGCATATAAATCAGATAGTTCCTTAGAAAATTACATAGAGTGCAAAAAGATATTTGCATCAACCAAACGATTATTCAAAACCAAAGCAAAAAATAATTGGATTATGTGGTGCTCAAAGTTAAATAATAGCACCCCATCTCGTGATCTATGGAAACAAGCTCGTATTGCAAAACGCATAAATTTTTCTACAGTTAGATGCAATAATTATGACTGGGTCAATGACTTTGCGACAAAATACTCTCCCTTAACGGCACACTCCTACTTTGGATCATGCCCTTCTGTTACAGATTCTGATGAAGATATTTTCAACACAGCGATATCACTAGTGGAGTTAGAATGCGCCCTCAAAAAGTCTTTTAACACAGCCCCCGGACCTGATAATATCAGGTATCCAATGTTGTTTCACCTTCCAGCTATTGCCAAACTTTTTTTAGTAGACATTTTAAATGATGTCTGGCTGAAGGGTGAGAATATTGATGAATGGAAAAAGGTTGTCGTCATTCCTATCCTCAAACCCAACAAAGATCCTGACTGTGCTGATTCTTATCATCCAATCTCTCTGTTGTCATGTGTTCTCAAAACTTTTGAGCGCATTATAAAAAAGCGAATTGAATGGTGGCTCAGGTCTCACAAGCTCCCTGCTGGACAATATGCATTTAAACAGGGTACAGGGTCCTTGGATGCAGTTGCTAACCTAGTTACTGATATTCAGTGTTGCTTTTCCAAGAATAATTATTTGGCTGCAACCTTTATAGACATAACCGGTGCATACGATCACATCGACCTACACAGAGTAAGATATAAAATGGAAAAATATGGTATCCCTGCTCGTACGAGCTATGTGATAGCTAATTTATACTACAATAGACCCGTATATGTGAGAGGCCATAATAATCAATGTCTCGGTCCTAGAGTCTCATTCACAGGCCTTCCCCAGGGTTCAGTCCTCAGCCCTATCATTTTTAATATATACACAGCCGACCTCCACTCCATTGATACAGAAGTTCAACTTGTACAGTACGCTGATGATTTCTGTATCTGCATTGAAAGAAAAACCATAGAACAGTGCGTACGAACTTTGAATAGAGATGATGATAGAATTCTCCAGATGGTTCGGCGACAACGGTTTTATAATTTCCAATTCTAAATCGGTTGTTTGTTTTTTCTCACGCCACAGAATGAACATGAGTTACAATATAGAATTAGGGGGCATAAGCTTCAATATTATCTCCGAAGTTAAGTACCTTGGTGTCATCCTTGACAGAAAGTTATGTTGGAAACGGTTTATTTCTTGTATCATTACGAAATGCAATGTAAAGCCTCAACTTCTTTCGTATGATCGCTAAAACTTGGTGGGGTGCCGACCAAAAAATTGTCATTTTATTTTATAGATCTTATATACGGTCAATAATTGATTATGGTTCCATTTTGTATGGAACAGCCTCAAAAGCACTGCTCCGTAAATTAAATATAATCCAAAATAAATTTATTAGGATTTGTTTGGGAGCAATGTGCTCCTCTCCGATCGAAACGCTGAGGGTTGAAGCTTTGAAACCACCACTCCATCTCCGTAGGGAAATGCTTGCAAAAAAATTCCTTCTCAAACAAATATCACAGCGATCATAATAAAGGCCAACCACTACGAGTTGCCAAAATTCGAGAAAGATTACCTGCAAGGTACAGCAATTAGTGTACAAATGACATCTTATCAGTTAGCAGTCGCTGCAGTATGTTGCCCACCCCGTCATAACAATAAGGAAGAAAATTTCGCAGAATTCTTCAAATCCCTAGGCTCCAAGTTTATTGCCGGTGGTGATTACAACAGTAAACATACTCTCTGGGGATCACGTTTGAATACACCTAAAGATAGAGAACTCGCCAAAACAATACAAAAAGGAAACTACCATTACGTGTCCACAGGATCGCCCACAGATCCAGAGAAAATACCAGATCTTCTTTATTTTTTCATTACTAATGGAGTATCCCACACGTATACGGATGTTTCACCAAGCTACGACCTCTCATCAGACCACTCCCCAATAATAGCAACTATAAGCTCTTCACCTATGTTCAGACCGCCACCTCCTAGACTACATAACAAATCTACAAGCTGGAATAGGTACAAAGAGCAGATAAATGAAATGATCAATTTGGATGTGACTCTGAAGACACCACAGGATATCGATGCAGCCCTGTCAAACTTCATTGAAATATTAGTACAGGCAGCATCCCAATCTACGCGTCATCAAAGTCCTGAACAACAAAAAGCTAGTATCCCGGAAAAAAAAGATTGATAGCTGTAAAAAGAAAAGCTAGAGCAGTATGGCAACGATACCCATGCACCTACAGATAGAAGAAAGTACAACCAAGCTACTGAGAAGTTGAAGGGTGAGAACAAAAAACTCAATGATATTTCGATGCAAGAGTATGTCACTAATCTTAATAGATTTGACAATTCGATCTGGAGATCGATAAAATCTTCGGATAAACCCAAAACACCTGTGTCGCCTGTACGAAGACAGACAGACAATGCTCCGCAACAATGGGCGCGTAGCGATAAAGAAAAAGCAGACTTATTTGCACAATACCTGGCTGATGTATTTACTCCTAATGACGATATACCAGATCAAGAAATAGTCGAACAGCTACCAACTTGACATCCCATTACTCAGCAATCAAACTGCTCACCCCAAAACAAGTGAAAACTGAAATAAATAACCTATTTATCAAAAAAGCACCTGATATTGATAAAATCGCATCAAAAATGATGAAACAACTACCAAACAAAGCAATACTGATGTTAAAGAACATATACAACGCAATCCTCAGACTCAGTTATTGGCCTGAACAACTGAAGACTGCAGATATTATACTTATACCAAAACCAGGGAAGGACCCAAGAATAACTTCATCCTATCGATCAATAAGCTTATTATCAATAGTATCAAAGATTCTGGAAAAATTACTGCTACGTAGGATTAATAACGATTTGCCAGAAACTAACTGGATCCCCAACCATCAGTTTGGATTTCGGAGTGAACACTCTACCATACAGCAATCACACAGAATGGTACAAACAACTAATTCAGCACTTGAAAATAAACAGTACTGCACATCAGTATTTTTGGATGTAAGTCAGGCGTTTGATAAAGTTTGGCATGATGGTCTGCTGTTTAAAATAAAAACTGTACTACCCATAAAATACTTCAAAATATTGAAGTTCTTTCTAAGTCAACGTAAATTCCGAACTAGAGTAAATGAACAAACATCCAATTTCCATCCTATCAAATCAGGAGTTCCCCAGGGCAGCGTTTTAGGACCAATGTTGTACACCTTGTTCACCGCAGATCTACCCATTTCCTAAAATACAGTCACAGGAACATTTGCCGATGACACAGTAATCCTTGTCAGCAACAGCGATTCAACGTTAGCTTCGAATTCTCTACAAGATCATCTAGAAATGGTGGAAACATGGATGAAGAAATGGAAGA